AAAATTATTTTAGTTGCATTGATTTTTTATAGTTTGAATATAATAAAACACTAGAAGAAAAACATAAACTATGATGATGTACAAAAATGAATTTCTTACATAAGCTCTTCTGGTAAGGGTGGTAGATGGCTTTTTGTGAAATCTTTGGCATGTGAGAGGAAAAGTCCATGAGATGCAATCTCCCCAAGAATGAAGTCTCCATTCTGATGATATTTGTGAAGTGGTTTTCCTGGATACTTGACACTGCATTTCATAGTGAGTGGTTTGTATGCCATGTATTGAAGTAGTGTTAACAAGACTATGACTGCTATTAACATGCTGAATACTAATAAAAAGCCTTTTAATAAAACATTTCCTTCACAGGTTCTTTTCTATCTAGCCATCGTTATCCCAGTTATCATTTTTATAAAAGTCACTTGTATACAAGGACAATTATGTACAGTTCTTTGTTTTAATATGGATGAACATATCAACAACCACATTTCCTTATCTCCATTTCAAATGCTTGAGGTTATATTTATGCTACAATAAACGGAGAATGTTACTGCACTGGTTTATGAGAACAGCAGCAGTTTCACATCTGCTAGTTTAATTATGCTCCTTAAACCAATTCAGTAAGTGGGGAACTGTTATTTATTCAGAATTGGTATTCTTTGTGGAATTTCTACAGAACACACACCTATTATTTGTTGGAAATTGAGTACTGGGAGGAGAGATAACAAAAGTCAAGACTACACTAGATGTGATATTCATGCACTTCATCATAGGTTTAATCAGTTTTTCAACATAATTGGCACAAACTAAAGGAATGGGTATCAGCATCTGGATTAACAGCTCATGGAAACCCTTTCAGACATATTTTTGTAAAATTTTCATTACAGTGGGAAGTAATGCTAAGTTTCTTTGCAGAAACTGGAGCATTTAAAGAGAGAAAGAGAGATATTCCAGATTTTCCTTCCTATTCTATTTCAGTAAAGCTGGATGAATTTCCACACTGAAATATATTTTCGTGGTACTCATGTATTTGCCTGCAATCTGTAGTAACTTTCGGTCACATTTTTACTGTGGCCCCTCTGTGGCAGCAACCACATATCTACCTGTGCTAACCATCATTTGTTCAGTATCATTATAACTTTAAATGGTCTGGGTTGATGGCCACCTGCAATTCATATATTTTGCCTCATATCAATTAAAATCAACTTTTCCTAATAACTGAAAATAATATTGTGTATCCACTCATTCACAATTCATTTCCACAGACAAAACAACCATACAAAGAACAAAAAACCAAGACAAAACTAAACTAAACTAAAAGCAACCATAGAATGATCCTAAAGTAAAATGTGAATTTTTGTAACTGCATTGTGTAAAGTGGAGCATAATCTACCTTTGAACACTGTAACTATTTAAACTATTACACTTTTAGGGAATCCTTTTCTAATTTATTAGTATTCTTTTCAATTTGGAATATCCGGAGAGTTATACCATATCCAAAGGAATAATGTTTCCTCCTTTGAGGTTTATATCTTGGGAAGTTCATATATCACAGATTAAGAAACAAAGTAAGAAATGTCTCATCTTAGTTAACTGTATTTTAAATTTATTTTAAATGCTGAGATACAAGATAGTGATATCTACTTTGGGTCAGGGTCAGCATAAATTTTATATCTGGATAATACAGAAAGAAAGCAGTAACTACATGTGTTGCTGCAGGATTATTCTTAGATTAGTATTTGATCAATTTGAAAAAGATAAGAAGACTAATCAGAGAAAGGTGCTCTAAAAAAATAAACATTATCTGTCAAAGTCATTAAATCAAAAAGAAGTTACCATAATCGGCATGTTCATAAGTAGTAGTTCCTACACTTGTTCTTTGTAAAAATGAAAGCATAAACAATGGAGAATATAACTTTCTGACTACGTTTTCAATTTTAGTCCAATATTCTATGTATGTATAATAACACATATCAAAACAAAATGCTTGATTATATTCAGAAATTTCTCTTTATTCTTAGTTCCATTTTATTAAGGTCTGGTCTCAAAAAAATAATGTAGCATTTGGGGAGAAAGATACAGATCAGCAGCCCAGCGCTCGAGGCTAACATTGAAAAGATCTCCACAGCCACTATGTATTTTCCCCTGGTGCTCAGGTAGGTTGGAACAAAGGAGAGCCAAACACTGCAGAAAATCAACATGCTGAAAGTGATGAACTTGGCTTCATTAAAAGTATCTGGTAATTTCCTTGCAAAGAAAGCNGATGTGCTGACTCTGTAAACCGCTTACAGAGGGCTGAAAGCCCTATGAAGCGGTATATAAGTCTAACTGCTCTTGCTATTGCTAAATACAATAAAAAGTGCCATTCACATAATTCTATGAAGATTAGAATTACATATTTACCTTTCTTGAAGACACATTTTAAATAATCCATTTAAAAAAACAAAAACTTCTCTACATTGTAACAAAAACTCTTGGCTGCAATTTTGGTTCTTATGAGCTGGGCAGCAGTATAAAGTAAACCAGCTGAATTTAATACATTCTATCATCAATGTAGACAAATAGCAGCTGTATTTGAAATAAGAGTAACTGAAAATGATAGTAAAATGAATAAAATAAAAAGCTGCGAAAGAATCATAAAGGAAATTCTTTGATACAGATGTTGATAGGGCAAAATAATCAGAAATCTGATCTGCAGTGCCCAACTTTCTTTGGTAAAAAAAGTACTTTGTAAAATATTATTTTAATATATTTTAAAGATCTATAGTTGATGCACCAAGTTAATTCCAGACTATTTTGCCTAATTTAAAAATGTCTGAGAATTAACATTTCTTAAAACTACATTTAGAAGAATTAAACACAGTGTTTAATTAAGTCAATGCTATGTATACAACTTAGCAACTCTACATAAAGACCCCTGAATTTCATTATTACATACTATTGTTTCTATAGTATAAGGTGGAAAACAAGCATTTGCTGCATGACCAGCATAATTAGGGTAACACATGAAAATGGATTCCTTACAGGAACTCTTCAGACATTGTGGGTGGAGGTTTTATTGTGAAATCTTTGGCAATAGAGATGAAAACTCCATGAGAGGATATGCAGCCAATGATGAGGTCCCCAACCTGATGATATTTGTGAACTGGGTGTTCTGGATACTGGACATTGCATTTCACTGTGGGAGCTCCTTGTGGCATGTATGACAAAAGGGTTAAAAGCATTACCCCTGATACTGACATCCTAAACTTAAATTAGGACTAATTCATTTCCGCAAAATTTCCTTTCTCTAACTCTGACTCAGGGTCACTGACATATTTTCACAACTATTATAAAAGTTTAGACAGTACTCTGAATAATATAAATATCTAAATATGAAACATTAAGGATCATATTAATACATGCATGTTTTCCATCTTATCTGTATCCCTTCTTCAAATACTAAAGAAGATATTGCATTATATCATAGTTCACAGATGAATTGATACACTGCTATTTATGAGTTGCAACAAATTGCGAGCCGTATCACATAATTGCAAACTAATTGTATGGAAAATGGAATTGCTACCTCTTCAATGGTAGAATTCCTTATAGAATTGTAAAGAGAGCATGCTTGTTATTTTAAAACAATTTTTTTATTGTATCCTCTTGAGAAAAAAGCCATTCTTTTCTATGAATGGTCGAAAAACAAACAAAAGTAACCATCAATATTAAGATTTGGATTTAGAGCTAAAATTAATGCATTTATTATAGGAGTACTTTAATTTCAAAAATATTTGTAACACATCAAGGAAGTGAGATTTGGATTACCCTGAGTTAAATTTTTAGAAACTCTTCTAGGGAGGCATATAATATTTTTTTAGAATGATTTTTTGAGACATTTCTCAATATGCAGCACTTTTTCATTTTACTGTATTTCAATGCAGTGGTAATACATTTAATTACAAAATAATGGACCACTTTATGTATCTTCAAATTTTAAAATATTGTTGTACATTCTGGGATAAAATATTGCTCAGCTTCTCTTTTTGTCACATTTCACATCCAAATTTCTTCAGTCCCACTAAAGCTGGCTGAAATTTAGTCCCCGTCTACCCTAGCAATTTCTGTATAGCATTGTCATTCCTCTGACACCTCTGGGGAAAATAAATAATAGCAATAGCACTTAGACTTACATGCTACTTCATAGTGCTTTATAGCACTCTCTAAGCAGTTAGAAGGCAGAGTCAACCTTGAGCTGGTCAGGATCAAACTCCTGGCACTGAATAGTTAACTTGCTATACTGCATTATAACACTGCACCCCAGGGGTGGGTTCCTACCAGTCCGCGCCGGTCCTTGCGAACCAGTTGGTCAGTGGACCTGGAAGTAAGTAACTTCCGGGAACACCGGCACCGGCTCTGTCATTCCAAAGTGCCCTTGCCGGCCCATTACAACTAGCTTGCTCACTCCCCCGCCCGTCCATGCTAAAGTAAGCTAGCCCAGCCTGCCGTTCACTGATTGGCTGGGTGGGGGGAGGTGGTGGCCTAGCTTTCACGAGCAAAAGCCATGGGCTGGCAGTAGGGGCGGTGGCCCAGCCTTTGCAAGGGAAGCCTTCAGACCTTCCCTAGCAAAAGCCAAGGACTGGCGGCAAAGGCGGCCTAGCTTTTGCTAGGGAAGTCCCCTGTCCCCCCTCTCCAGCCTCGCCTGGCTGGCTAAGCCTGCCAGATGACCTGCTTACTGACCCTGGCCTTGTCCCTCCTGTCCAGTGTGTCTTACCTGTTCCTGCTGCCTCTCTGCCTGCCTGCTCCCTATTGCGTCCATCCATCGCATCGGAGTCAGATCCATCGCATCGGAGTGCTGCTGATTCTGCCTGATGGTAAGTGACCCNACACCCTTCTGAGAAAACATGGGAAATACAGTTTGCACAAATCTTTCTCCATTCTCATTATCCATAACTACCACTCCAATCCATATCCATCTGAAATGCAAAAGTAGAGCCAGAATCCCCTTATACTGAAGGTCTTCCTTAGGAACCATCTGATAGAAGGGGAGACCAGAGGATTGATCCTTCATCACTGAAGTGAGACTGTAGGTGAGCTAAAGAGATCCATAAAGATATGTTAAAGATGAAAGACAGGTTTAATATGGACAAATGGACAGTTGGAATTAAGAAGAAGAAGAAAACTGAAATTGAAATAGAGTTTGTACAAATGATATAAATATGGGCATATGGGAGAAAATGTGGCAAACTGCTGTTAATTTTTACATTATCATTTTAAAAGATTTTTTTATTAAATTATGTATTGATGATATATAACACGGATTAAATTGTTTCAAGGAATACTAAACCAGTGTTGGAACTATGAAAAAGGCAAGGGAATACTTTTGGATTTATATTTGTTTATTTATATGCTAAATTTAGGAAGAGTTACATGAGAACTAAGACCAAGGAGATAGATGGCCAAGAAGTGAGGTCTTCTTTCCTCCCTATCAACCATCTATACAAACAAACAAAAAGACCCATGTCATTCCAAGCCAAATAAGCAAAACCAAATTTTAAGAGGTTTTTGTTTTTGGAAGGCCAGGAGAGTGGGAGAAGCTGGTACAAGGTTCCATGAGGTAGGGGGCACAGCAAAAAAGGCTGTTCTCCACGAGCCCACCAGTCAAAATTCTTTAAGAGACAGAGTCCATAGCAAGACGCCTAATCTCATTTGTTTACATTTATAGCAAAACAGCCTAATCTCATTTGTATACATTTATTGAATTGAAAAATTCTAATTCTAATAATATTACCCTTTGTATGACATTACTATTATTTATCCTTTCCTACTATCTGTGAGATATGGTCTGTGAATAGAAACAATCTAGTTTGCTGGGGAACAAGTTCCTGATTGATTTTTCACCCTCTGAAGTATTTTGCAATATCTGCACTGGTAAAGATTTATGAAAAATCCAATCTCTGAAATTCTTTGATGGATTTTTGATTGGACTAAATATATGTACAGCATATAAGAACATTTTAAGAAAAAAAACTTTAACAAGAATGAATATCTGGTGTGAAGCAGGAATTTTGAGAAGATGAAAGTGCAAATAAAACTTTCTTTTATTTATTTATTAATTACTATACTCCAAGTAAAAAGCTAAAGAACTTTTCCTTATCTTAGAGATTACCTTCATGTAATTTGATGAACAATTACTCAGACTCCAGAGTTGTATCTAGTGAAACGGAGAACAGAGGAAAAAATGAAGAAAAACCTCAGAAGTGTTTCCTACCTGGGGAATCTTGTAGATCTCCAGGAGAATCTTCATAGCAAGAGAAGTAAGGGAATCCAATCCACCAATCACTGCGATCAGCTTCTTTTTCATATTGCAACTATAGTTTGGAAAGAAATTCTCCAATGTATACAAAAGGNAATACATGTCACCTTATTGGGCTGACCAATGAATAGCAATGTACAAAGGAAGCAGAGCAGGAGGGTGATGAGAAGAATATACGTGATATCCCGGTTGCTGGCTTTTACAATGGGAGTGTTGTGGTGTATCAAAAATGATCTTAGTACCAGAATTGTGATTGTGGAACAGAAAAGAGAAAAAGAGACTAAAGTGATACCCAAAGGTTCCTTATATGACAAGAAGCTTATGTCTTTAGGAATGCATGAATCTCGCTTTTTGTTGGGATAATTTTCATCTGTGCAATCATAACAGTCATTCAGATCTGAAATGGAAAAAAATGTATTATCAAACTTATATGGATTCATAAATCTTGATAACTTGATAACATTACATAAGCTTAAATATTGCATTAGGCTTTACTCCAAATGTCATAGTTATGAGCAGGACTATGAAATCAGCATACATATATCTTATTTGCACAATAACATCATCATTATACTCTTATTTGAAAGAACCATGCAAAAAGTCGATCATTTCAACTTCCCATCATAGGGAATGGAATTGTGGCTATATTTTATCTATGCCATATAGCCATGACCCGCCAAATGCGCGCTGACAAAACTGCGATGTCAAAAGCGCGCCCACAAAAGCGTGATTAGGGTTAGGGTTAGGGTTATAACATTGTTTTCGCATCCTACTATGTTGTTTGTTGATGGCGCGCTTTTGTCAGCATGCATTTGTTGGCGCGCTTTTGTGGGTGCGATTTTGATGTCGCAGTTTTGTTGCCGTGGTTTTGTCAGCATGCATTTGTCGGGCATGCATTTGTCGGTGAACCCATATAGCAGGTCTCAAGATATTGTTTTCCTGTCTAGCCATGGAGTATAAATGAATAAAGTTTATAAAATCCCACAATTATCATTATTTCTGTAAAACATTTCAGAGAAAGATCTGTGTATCTTTTATCTAAATGCAATTTTTTTATGGGGAGGAGGAGGAGGAGGAGGGAATGGGATGGAGAGGAGGAGACTGCGTTACACATTGGCAAATAGTATATCTTTCTGAAAGAGACAGACTATAATATCATATTCTTACCCTCAATTTCTGCAATTTTTCCTTCTGGACATGGGTTACAAGAGTAGCAGCAGAATGGCTTACCCTCTATGACTTGTTTACTAGATCCTGGATAACAGCTTGGGGTACAGAGAGAAACAGGCTGTGACTAGCTTATAAAGAAACAAACCAACAACATAAATTATAATCTTAAAAATGATTTTCTTATAATCATTGCTTTTAGGGGGCTTTTTATCATGTATTGTATGTTAACCATATAGTACATCCATGTCTTAAGTGCTCATTTCTACTACTAATAATAATATCTTCTTCTTGAAATATTGAACTGCCACTTAAATTTCATGTGCTATGCTTTGAAATATTTTTATAATATTACATAATACAGTTGTTTTCTGTCCTCAACAAACTATGTCATATACCCATTGATATAAGATAAATTTCAATTTTCAAGAATAAGTAAAAAAAAAAAGTATCCCAAAATCAGTATACTTGAATGTGACCAAGAAAGTATTTCTTTTGTAAGACATATTGTATTAAAACTATTATACTAGACAAAGACTCAGTAGGATAATTGGGTCTGCAAAGAAAACAGACATAATAATTATCTCATCTACGCTAAGGAATACTCAATATCCAGATAATAGAAAAATAATGCAGCCATCTTATTCTAGTTTGATGGTATCCTGTGACTGTTTCTGATAATGACATTTTAAGAAGGACATTAGCAAAAGTACAGAGGAAGATGAAGAAGTTGGAGCGTAATCAGGAAAACAAGTCTATGAGGAAGGGTTCATTCACAGAAGAACTTATAGAGACCCATAATAGCTGGAACTTCTACAGCTAGCTTTGCTCTTGTTCCTGCCACTCCCAATAACCAAAGTTGGAAGCCAGGATAGGGAATTGTATTTTGAGAAAACATTTTCACAATAATAACTTCCTTCTGGTGCTATACTTGCGCTAATATTAATACTGCCATCTGTAGAGGGAAACCTTTAGGGGTAACTTAGCATTATGCTTATTGTTTTTACTGACTCCTGTGTACATTTTGAAACTAATGATTTTTTTTTTGTTTCCTTCCTTGTTCAAAGAAACATTTCAATGGAAATCAGAGGAACTAAACCACTCTAGATTTTCTTTTTCTGAAATTTTGGGAAGTATTCTCATATTTCTAATGTTATTCATCTCTGATATTATTAACTGTCAGTCCTGGTTGTACCCAGGAATACATTCAGCAAGATAGTATGAAAATTTTTGACCCATTTTAAATAGTGCCTAGTTTGCCCATATCTGTACATTTTAGCTAATTGTTTAGGTAAATTGATTTTTTTAGCTAAAGATGACATTTAACTATTCTATCTAACTGAATTTAATCCAGCCATTGTACACCAATTCCTATGAACTGTATTAGTTGGATAAGACAAAGATCCGGAACAAGTGAGATTTTATCATTTTCATAATTCAACAGGATTTAAAATAATCATTAAGATTCAGTGATCACAAATGGGACAAATATTTCCAGGGAGTCAATTCCTGGAACCCACCTGGTTAAACCAGTTGCTCCATGTTATGGCATCTTCTTTGATAATTAATACTTTGTTTGGAGGAGAGTGTGGATCTATTCTTCCTATTTTCACTACTGTCTGATTTTCCAAGAAAATAAAATTGATGACATCAAATCCAGCTACCAAATTTCCATCTTGATCAAATGCCATCTTTTCCCCAATACTGTTATTAAATGTGATATATCTCAAGAAATTAGGAAGCTAAATTGAAATGAAAATGCAATACTTATACAAATCAAATTTTCAAGGGTTCTTTTCAATATTTACATATCATGCCTTTAATTATTCATTGAAAAGATATTTATTATTTAAATGAATGCCATATTCCCTATTCTTGGTACAGTTATTCTTTGCACTGAATTCTATCATATACAAGAGAAACACTTTCAGTGAATAATAAACTCTGTCAGATTGTCAGATTGTTAGAATGAAACAGAATGAAACAGAATGTTAACAGAAGTTAGGAACTTCTTTTGGAAATCAAAACATAATAATCCATATATTGTAATAGGATCACATAGCAGTAGCAGTTAGAATTATATACCGCTTCATAGTGCTTTTATAGTCCTCTCTAAGCAGTTTTACAGAGTCAGCATATTGCCCCCAACAATCTGGGTCCTCATTTTACCCACCTCAAAAGGATAGGAGGCTGAGTCAACCATGAGCCTGATGGGATTTGAACTGTCAAATTGCAGGCAGCCAATAGTCAGCAGAAGTGACCTGCAGTACTACACTCTAACCACTGTGCCAACGAGACTCATACATTAGAAACTATCATTTTTGTGTATTCGAACAAGGGTTGGCAACCCATTACTAGACCATGAGCTGTTTGGAACCAGGTCACCAATATGTCAGGTTAGCCTGCAACATTTGCAAATGGAACTGTGCACATGCACACACTTGCTTATTGCTCATGCAGAACCATCCCCTCCCCACCCCAACTCTGGCTGGGCTACAAACCTTGAATGATTGGGGAAGTGTATTAGCACAAACAGGAACAGTGAAAACCAGTGACGTGCAGCCAGGTGAGGCAAGTGAGACACAGCCTCACCGCTCTCATCATGAAAAAGCAGGGTTCGGTCTTATCCCCCCTACTATTCAACATNCTACCAGGTCACATGGGTGGCAGGCCACTCCCATCTGGTCACTTGGGAGGCAAGCCACTCCCATCCGGTCACATGGATGGCAAGCCACTCCCATCCAGTCACATGGGTGGCAGGCCACTCCCATCTGGTCACATGGGTGGCAAGCCACTTCCATCCAGTCACATGGGCAGCAAGCCACTCCCACAAAAGAGCCCACACCCACAGAGTAGGTTCCAACAATTTTTGAAACCCACCACTGCTGCACCCCTAATAAACCTGGCCACATGAATAATTGTTCCCATGCTGTAGTAGTTCCTAGGCCCTAATACAGAAAGCAGTTATAGAGAAAAACTAAATCAATATTTAAATTTTACAAAGTATTGTAGTGGAAATAGTATTGATATCAGGTCCAGAAAGGAATACTCTGGAAAAATCAGGTAAGATACATAAATTGGAGAAGTCAAGGAAACTTGCCTGTTAATACAGCTGCAGAAGTTTATTGAATAGCAAGAGTTTTCCTAACTCTGGGTATCCATCTAAACTGTGATATCAATTTAATCTAAATGGGAAACAACCCAACAGTTACAACACAAACATTGTTACCTCAATAGATATTTTTCCTTTATACACAAAAAAATATTTAGAAAAATGGTTGGTTTGAAAATAAACTAAAGATGACTAAGAATATGAATGTGGAAGAGCAGAGGAAATAGGAACTTAAAGCTAAATTAAAAGTTGTTAAAATGTATTATGGACAAACCAATTGAAAAGCATTTTGGGCATTATTTTTTACATGGCTACCACAGCAAGGACTGTATATGCTAAGAAATAGAAGGATGACATAGGACAATTAACTGTTTTGATTAGAGATAGTGGATTAGGCAAGTTTCTAAATGACTGAGAATCATTTGTGGATTTTCTAGATGTTAAATACAGTGACCGATGGTTAACAGAAAGTTTTGAAGATTAGTTTTATCTTTGAGGTAATATGTTAATATATATATATATATATATAATTAATGTGAACAGATGTCTGGTTGATTTTATTATTAATTAAATAGTTTAACATATCTGGGATATTTATGAACTGTGTATATTCTAACTAATATGACTACCACAAACCTTTCTTCTTCTTTTTGTGCCATATCTGTCATCGGATGTTTGCAATCATGTTGGCCTATTTCTGTCGAAAGCCGCATGAAATAGTGCTGCTGATTTTTGTCCACATCAATCCCTTAGATTTTGAAGCCATGATGTTCTTTTTCTGCTTGGACCTCCTTTGCCTTCAAATTTTCCCTGGAAGATTAATTGAAGTATGCTATATTTTTCTGGGTACCTCATCACATGTTCAAAATATTCTTTCACTTTTTAATGGCTTTAATTATTTGCTTTTGCTTACCCAGGCGGCTTATCACCTTCTCATTTGTGATTTTGTCAACCCAGCTTATATGTAACAGCCATCTGTAAATCCATATTTCAAATGCTTCCAGTTTCTTCAAGTGGTTTTCTGTCAGAGACCTTTTCCATAGAGCAGGATAGAAAAGATGTAACATTTGAAAAGCCTGATTTTCAGTCTTAGGCTTATGTCGTGACATTTATGTCATTAATCATTGCATTCTCAGAATCCTGCCATGCTCAGATGTTGGAAAAACACAATAATGCACTGGTAGAAGAAAATATCTGTAGTTCAGGGTTGAACCAGACGGTACTTGGTACTTTCTGAGTGGTGATTTTCTTGCAGACATTTTATTAGCAAACTAGGTAACATCATCAGAAATTTGCTGTGATATTTTTCAAATATTTAATTTGAATTTCAATTTCATTAATGACTTTTCTGTGTTGTTTTAATGTATAATGCACATTATGATGCTTCTGAAATATTCAAGAAGATGAACCAAAATTTGAAAATAGCATTTTAAATCACGGCTGACAGTGATTTTATTCCTCTAGCTAACAATCACTTTAACATTTCCTATTCCAAATACTTCATCAAATTGCTATGTGATAGAGACAATACGGAGTTCCAGATCAAGTAGAATTTATAAATAACTAAAGGGTATCCTTGGATGAAGCCTACCTGCCCTCATCATTTTTATTGATCAGGATTTATCTTTTGGAATAAATTAAAATTTTATGTCAACTAATTAATTACAGATCATATTCTAACTGAAGGATGGGAATTGTTTCTTATTTAGTAAGCAAACTCCATGTCAATAAATAAAAATCTATTTATGATCACCAAAGGAAATTTCTTGCCTCTTCTTTAATAATAAACATAGATGTAGTACAGGGATTGGTTGCTGCCAGCATTACTGCCAATTCGAATATTTGAAAATGTTTTCTATGAATTTTATTATCATTGTTACCACCCAAACTTTATTTTAATATTATGGACTGAAAAAGGTCTCCAGGCCTTTAATAATTTAATATAAATGGTAGGAAAAATATTCAGCAAAATTTCCACTGTAAAATACACATAAACATAGAAGTACATCTGCAGTGAATATTACAGCTACATTCTTGGACGTGTTCAACTACTTCACCCTTTTTTTTAGCTGCCTGTTGTTTAGCTCTGGTCTTAGAAGAATAATGTAACATTTGGGGAAAAAGATACAGATCAGCAACCCAGCACTTGAGGCTAACATTGAGAAGATCTCCACAGTCACTGTGTATTTTCCCTTCGTGCTCAGGTAGGTTGGGACAAAGGAGAGCCAAACACTGCAGAAAATCAACATGCTGAAAGTGATGAACTTGGCTTCATTAAAAGTATCTGGTAATTTCCTTGCAAAGAAAGCAACTATAAAACTGGTCATAGCCAAAAAGCCCATATAACACCTTGCAAAGTAAAACATAATCATGGACCCTTCCTTACATTGTAGGACAATTTTTCCATTTCCTGAGTGAAGGTCAGCATCTGGGACAGGAGGAGAGATGGACAGCCATATAATGCAAATCCCAACCTGAATTAAGAAACCTAATAAAACAAAAGCATAGCCCAATCTTTTCCCCACCCAATGGCTCATCCTGCTTCCTGGCTTGGTTGCCATGAAAGCCAGGACCACAGTCACAGTCTTGGCCAGCACACAGGAAATAGCCACAGAGAAGATGATGCTGAAACCAGTTTCACGAAGAATACATGCCACCTTATTGGGCTGACCAATGAATAGTAATGTATACAGGAAGCAAAGCAGGAGGGTGACAAGGAGAATATAGGTGAGATCCCGATTGCTGGCTTTGACGATGGGAGTGTTGTGATGCATTAAAAATATCCTTAGTATCAGAATTGTGATTGTGGAACAGAAAAGAGAAAAACAGGCTAAAGTGATCCCCAGAGGTTCTTTATACGACAAGAAACTTATATCTTTGGGGATGCATGAATCCTGCCTTTTGTTGGGATAATTTTCATCTGTGCAATCATAACAGTCATTCATATCTGAAATGGAAAGAATGTATCATCAAACTCATATGGATTCATAAACATTTATAGCCTTTATAATTTTATATCAGATTAAATATTACATTATGCTTTACTCCAAGTAGGAAATAAATGTCTTAGTTATCAGATATGCATCTCTTATGTAAACAAATAATAACATCATCATTATACTCCTGTTTGAAAGTATCGTGCAAACATATTGACCATGTCTTATACAAATTATTTTAGGAAATGGAATCATGTCTATTATATATTTTATCTATGCAATACAGTAGTTTCAAGATTTTTTCCCATTCTAGTCTTTATGCCTAAACAAAGTTTATAAAACCTCAGGAGGAGGAGGGGGAGGAAGAGGAGGAGGAGGGGAGGAGGAAGGGAAGGGGGAGGGGAGGCTTTACAAATTTACAAAATTGACTTTACAAATTGGAAACAAAAAATAGATAGGTGTGTTTGTGTGTACATTTATAAATAATATATAACAAATATCTGGAAGGAACACTATGACAACAATATTCTATTATTAGAAAAGAAGGAGGTGGTTTTACAAGTTTCCAAAATTGGCTTTACAAATTGATAAACAGGAAATGGGAAAGCTTGCTTCCAGAAATTGTGGGCACTCCATCACTGGATGTTTTTAAGAAGACACATGGCAAACCTATGGCACCCGTCTCCATGTTGCCTGGCACATGCAGGGTCACTCATTCCTCTTTTGGGTTTCTGGCATGCATGCATGTGCAACAATTAACTGGCCTTCATGCGTGTGGCAGTAACAGAAATTAGAAGAGCTGGTCTTCCGTTTTTGGACATAAGCACACATGTAAGTCATACATACATGTACGCCAATAACTGGAAGACTAGCTGGCCAGCATGCATGTGCTGGAAACCAGAAGTTCATTTTCTAGTGTATGCATGTCACCTAGGCAGCTCCTCTTCTGGGCTGTGTTCCTGACAAGTTCACACTCCCATTACTGGACTAGACAGTCACTTATCTGAAATAGTATAGGTTCTCCTACTTGAACAGGGGGCTGGACTAGAAAACCTTCAAGGTCCCTTCCAGCTCATTCATTCATTCAAATAGGTGTGTGTTTTACGTGTGTGTGTAAACACATACACACACACAGTCTAAATATATATGATATACATAATGTCAATGTATGGCTGTATTCATACATACACATACACTCATGTAATATACAAGTAATATATCTTTCTGGAAGCAAAAGAATACCAATAATTTTCTACCCTTACCCTCATTTTCTGAAATTTTCCCTTCTGGACACGGGTTACAAGAGTAGCAGCAGAATGGCTTACCCTCTATGACTTGTTTACTAGAACCTGGAAAACAGCTTGGCGTACAGAGAGAAACGGGCTGTGACTAGCTTGTAAAGAAACAAACCAACAAATAAATTACCGTCTTAATATTGCTACCCTTAGAAGCATTTCTTTTCTGAAGGCTTTTCCTTCTGCATAATATATCTGTGTATCATGCTTTAGGAAATATTCTTTTTGAAATATTGAACTGCCTCTTAAAATCCAGGGATAAGATTTTCAAATATTTTTATAATGTTACATAATAAAGCTTTTTTTATGTCCTCAACAAACTATGTCATATGCTCATTGATTTTACTCATTGTAAGATCAATTTCAATTTTCAGGAATCATAATAGTTAAAAATAATTATCCAACTTCAGTAATATATATAAAATGATGAAGAAAAGATTAAAGAGATTTATGTGTAGGTGTGTTTATTGTTTTTTAAAACACTTTTTAAATATTTTCTTTCTTTTGTTTTTCCCTGTGATTTATTTTTTCTCGGTTCCCTTTTTAGCTTTGTATTTTAACTTTTTTTAAATGAAAATGAAAATAATTATTTAAAAAAAAAGAATCCTACCAATTCTATTTATCTATTTATTATTGGTTCTGATCTCTTTTTACATTTTGAAACTAATAAATAAAACAAATTCTTTGTTTCCTTTCTTGTTCAGTGGGATAAATCAGAGGAACTAAACCACTGTAGTTTTTTTTCTAAAGATTTGAAAAGTATTTGCATATTCCTGGTATTAGTCAACCCTGATATAATTAATTGTCAATCCTAGTTGTATGTAGAAATATTTTCAGCAAAAAATAATTATATAGTATTGGCTTTGAAATAATGCCTGTTTTGTCCATATCTGTACATTTCATGTTATTTAGGTAAATGTGATTTTTAGCTTACTATGATTTTAAATTGTATTACAATACTTAATAATAAACTTAACACATCTACTACAGAGCAGTTACAATAAATTCTATTAATGAATAAGACCAAAGATCCTAATAGGTTATCTATTATAATTCAACCAGATTTAAAATAATGGCTAAGATTCAGTGATAACACATGGAACAAAGACTTTCCAAGTAATCCGTTCCTGGAACCTACCCGGTTAAACCAGCTACTCCATATTATGGCATCTTTCTTGATGATTAACATTTTGTCTGGAGAAAAATGTGAATCTATGTGTCCTATTTTCACTACTGTCTGGTTTTCAGAAAAGATAAAGTTGATTACATCAAATCCAGCTAGTAAATTCCCATCTTTATCAAATGTTATCCTTTCTTCAATACTGTTATTAAATGTGGAATGTCTCAAGAAATTAGAAAGCTAGAATATAATGAAAAGGGGAAATCTATATATGCAAAAGCCACTCAGGCCACAATCATGAAATCTCCAGAACAGTAAAGCCTACAAATTTGAAATGTGGCACGTATGTTCCTCTTAGCTTCTAGATGCTCACTTAGAAATGATTTTTCAAAATGACCATCAGATCATTAGTATTTCTTATATTATTATTAACATGCTCTGAGGCTAAGGAGTTCTTCCCCCTCCCCACCTGGAAAGATCTGTGTTCCAACTGCCACTTGGGTGTGACTCATCTGGCCTGTGGACTAGGAGTTTGGAGAGGATCAATGGTGCCTTCTTCAGGGTGAGAAGGGGATAAGATAGAGGAGGATTATGTGGGACAAGGCTAAGGGAGAGAAGTGATAGGATAAGGGAGGATTTGGTGGGCCAAGCCTGAGGGAGAGAATGGGATAGGATCAGGGAGGATTATGTGGGGCAAGCCTGCAGGAGAGAACGGGAAAAGATAGGAGATGTTTCTGTGGGGCAAGCCTGAGGGAGAGAATGGGAGAGGAGAGGCCAATCATAATTACTCATTAATTTTCAAGCTGTAAGTGTCTATTTATCAACCCCAATCACATAGTTTCGTAGTGGAATATGGATATTCAGCTAGTATATTATAAATGCTAAACATGAAAAAGCTTCTGTAAATCAAATGATTCTGGGTTTTTAAAAATGCATGCATTTAATTAATTATTCAAAATACACATTACTTACATTAATTTCATAGTTTCCAATTCTTGCTAATAGAGCCACTAATACTAGAAACTAGTAGTTATTTATATTAACAACAAAAAGAAAGCAGATAATCCAGTAGTGGAAATTGCAAGACAGCATTAAATTGAAATAATTTAATGAGGTGGAAAGGAAAAGCAAGTCACTTTTTTTCAGTTGACGCAAGGGCTTATATGCTACATTACCTGCCAAAATGGCTGGTTATGAATATATAGTCTACCATCCACCACTGCTTTGTGTTTGAATCCAGATGCAAACATGGCATGTAAAGCATAGGCTATAGCATAGACAGCATTGTAGACACTATAGCTATAGCCAGACATGGACATTTCAAAAAAGAGTGCAGGGATTCTCTCCAGTTTCTCCTGGCCAGTGCAAATGTTCACCTCTTCTTGATGGATAGATGTACTTAAAAATTTACAGTTAAAGATCTGCTCCCAAAATCCTTTGAGAAAACCATCTCCTTTTGTGATGGACGGATTTCGATTCTCAATAAACTGCTGAAATCCAGACACATCATTGGAATAAAATGCAAAACCTAAAGCTCCATGGAAAATTCCTAAATCCCAATATCTTTGAAATCCAAAGGAAACAATCTCCATTTGGGCAGTGAAGATCCATAGTTTTCCTAGGAGCTTCCTAGGTTTACTGTCTACATCTTCATCTGATAGATAAGATGCAAATCTAAACAATCCCAGGGAATGAGATTCACCATAGACAAGTATTACTGTAACTTTACTACTGATCACAGCATTATAAATATTCTCCCCTTTATGCAGCATCTCAAACAAATCATTAATAAATGTTACAACAGGGATTTTTTGTATGAAAGCAAAACAGACACCCTTCTGAGAAAACATGGGAAATACAGTTTGCACAAATCTTTCTCCGTTCTCATTATCCATAACTACCACTCCAATCCATATCCATCTGAAGTGCAGAAGCAGAGCCAGAATCCCCTTATACTGAAGCTCTTCCTTAGGAACCATCTGGTAGAAAGGGAGGCCAGAGGATTGATCCTTCATCACCGGAGTGGGACTGTAGGTGAGCTAAAGAGATCCATAAAGTAGAAATATGTCAAAGAATAATCCAGGTATTTTTACTCCAGACTATGCCAATAATGAAAAATGAAGTAGCTATCAAACAATGGCAAAACGTTTTATCAAAGTTTATATGACACGAGGGTGGGGGGGAACAGGGATATACAAGATTTTACAGGATGCAAAAAAAAAGGTAGATTAGAGGCACCTAATCTCAAATTGTACTATGCTGCAGGTTGATTTATATGGGTGAAGGAATGGATATTGTTAAGACATAATAGAATGTTAGAGATGGATTCACAACCTGAGTTTTGATTTGCATGATTTCTCATGAAATGACAATGTGGACATGAATGTAGATTTTAGGAAACCAGATTAAGAAACACATTGTTAAATATGTGAAATATTTATAAACCAAAGCTACAGTATGTGCAAATACATTATTATTATTAATTATCTTACAAGAAGCATTTTATCAAAGAGAAACATGAGCACTTATTAACACTACAGAAGCAAGAAGTGAATGTGAAAATAAAGAGAAGAGAGCAATTAGCAACAGAACAGTATTCCTTCCAATAGTTTTCTTATAATAAAATGAAAGACAAGTTTAATATGGACAAAAAGGCAGAATTGAATAGAAGAAAACTGAATTTGAAACAGAGTTATGTACAAATGATATAAATATGGGCATCTGGGAGAAAATGTGGAAAACTGGTGTTAAATTTACATTATGTTTTAATTTAAAAGATTTTTTTTGTTAAAGGAATTGATTTTTGTATTAAATATCGATGCTATATGACACTGGTCTAAAATATTTCAAGGAACATCAAACCAGTGCTAGAATTATGAAAAAGCAAGAGGGGAATTTTTTATTACAAATGATGGACTGGTGAAAAAGCAAAAGAAATATTGAGGATCTATGCGAAACGACAAGTATAAAAAGTGTAAAGAGGGGCAAATAACTAAGGCAGAATATCAGCAGAATCAGTATTATTCAACATTTGTTAAAAATGTCTTATGGAAATGATGTTACAAATAACAGAACATTGAGAATTCTGGTTGACACTCAGAAGAACAGAATATGACTGCTCTAATTTGGAGACGTGAAATAAATGGACTGACAGGAGCAGAATATCCTTTAAAAGATATAAATAAAGTAATATATCTAGAGAGAAAAATACAGGCACACATACCAGTTGGGAGACTCAATGATTGGAAGTAGAACATGTAAGAAGATTTGAATGTGTTTATTAATAAAGTATGAAAGAGTTGCTAGGTGCATCTGCCTTTCAAGCTTTACATAAATGCATATGAAGTTCTAATTTCCCTTTCCTCTGTTTTGGTGAAACGACACTCAGTTGTCCCATAGAAATCTGGGTAACCTATTCCCAGAAGCATATTTATAGAGGATGGCAGCCTAAATGATATCAAGTCTTGAAGAAATATCCTACAAGGAAGGAGATGTTCAGTCTGGGGAAAAAGAGAATTGGGGAAACGTAAGAACTACATTCAGAAAGAAGGTAGAAAGAAGCTACATAGGTGATGACCAGAAATTATTTTCTTCCTGCATCCCTCAAAGTTTTAAAAATAATTTAATAAAAACAACAAAAATGAAAAGAAAAGAAAACCTATGCAGATATGTAAACCTGTTCAATGCTATGATTTTATGAGAAATCTGCCCCAAATAAAAATGAATATATTTGTATATAGCCTACGAAGCTTTTGTACAAATGCCATACAGCAGATAAATTAAAACCAATGAACAAATGAATAAATAATACCCTATATCATTCCCCTAATGTTATAATAATTCTGTGGAGCAGACTTGAAAGAGGAATACTGAACTCAATGACTGACCACTTTATTTTCAAATCAGTTAAAGATTGAAAATGCTTATGATTACACTATAATCGGTCGTAATCATTATAATCAATGTCCTTCAATTGAGTGAAGATATTTGGGATTAGGTTTGGTGAATGTTTTTTTAGTTTTCTTCAGCGTATGGTTTTGTTTCATCGAACCTAAGCAGTTAAAGAAAGAAATCTGAACTGATGGCTATACATTTTAACAGAAAATAAAATCAGCAATTTTAGAAAGTTCATACTGTATTTCATACAACACTGGCAATCTGCTCAGTCAACATTAAGAAAGAAAATTCCTAATTCCTTGCAAAAATACTTTCACCTGGGGAGAGTGGGATGGGGATGAGGGGGAGCTATCTCAAAAAGTTGGGTTTTTCAAAGAAATTATTATCATGGAATATTCCAACACCTTTCTCACTAAAAGAACAAGCTACTAAAGTTATTAAAAAGTATATTCAGTTTTGAAGATGAGATCTCATCCTGAAGAAATGAAAACTAAAATTTTACAGATATTTATGTTTCCCAAGTATTTTACCAGAAAGTGTAGCAAACTTTCCTGAATCATACTCTATGTTTGGATGTCAACACTATCTGGGTAAATATGGCTATGATTTGAAACTGTTAATGGCAATTATTATTCATTTTAGCAAAGTTAATATTATTGTTGTACCCAACAACTGGCTCACCTAAAACAACCGATTCTCTTTGAAGATACAATACAATTTTGAGATGGCTATTTAGCATACAATCAATAAACAGTATATAAAACCTTTGAAAAAAAGGTATTCCATTTTGCTGAACAAATGCAGAACCAGAACTTATATAAATTAAGATTACTACTTTGCAAAGAATAGATAAAGAAAAAAGCATGGAAATTACAGCATAATGTTGAAACGTTTCAGAAACATTTGTGTGATATTTATCCCTTTCTACAAAGTCAGCATGTTAACTACATTACCTTTGAGACAGAAATAATTCGTTTACTAGTCAACAGAGAGGGATTCTTCTCTCTGTCATTACTGAGGTCAAACCCAGCTTGCTGACTTAGTTTCTTTCTTCTTTATATAGTTCATATTCACCTCATCTCGTAAGTTTGGTACTTAATGCATTTAACTGTTTGGTGTGTGATCATGTATATGACTACTTTGAACTCATGAAAACAAAAGCTATATAATTTGTAATTTTGCACTCAGTTACCGAAATAGCTTCCTGAAGATTTCAAAGTGGGTTGGCATGGTCTCCTTCCTAGACCTGAGAGACAGGACTAAAACTCAAGTTCTTCCAATTTCTAACTTGATGCCTTAACAATTTCACCAGACTGGTTCATAATTAGTGATGGAGTGGCCAACTATATAAACTAACAATCATTAAATGATTTTTAAAAGATAAAAACTTAAACATTAACGTCAGTTATTTTTGTTAGTCCCATAAAAGTATTTTCTAAACATGGATTTGGGGATTTTTTATGGAGGAATTTAATTATTATCGAATATCATAATATTTAATGTAAAATATTCTGTCTTTATCCTAATTTTTCACAAGTCAATATCAAAATCTGATAGTTTTTATGTTTTTTAGGAAAAGAAGCCTTTCACTGCTATGGTGGATATTAAATATAAATGGGGAACTCATCAAATTTGCAGATGACACCAAGCTGGCAGGAATAGTCAACACTCCAGAAGATAGGCTAAAGATACAGAAGGATCTTGATAAACTTGAACATTGGGCACTATCTAATAAAATGAAATTCAGTGGTGAAAAGA